CAGGGAATTCTGGGCCCTAAGCCCCCATGCCACTGGCAGGCTGTGAGTAAACCAGGTCTTGCTCTCTCTCTCTCTCTCCCTTTTAAAATACTATGATGCTACATTTTTATTTGTAAAATATTTATTCTTAAGATGAGTCATGGGAACACAAGTTATTTATTACAATTTTCTCTAGGTTTTTAAATGCCTGGAATATTTCACACAGAGAAAAGAGACCTGTTCTCTTTCTACTCTATCGCTGTTGTCATATCATATTGGTGAGGGCTTCCAAGAGCTCCAACAAAATGAAAGGACAAAGTCCCCTGGGAATGAGTGCTATATTACCTCTGGTGCAGAGTGTCGAGTAGATTTTAATACAATACACTCATGGTTTTCTAGCCTTGGTGAAATCCTACAGCACTCTGCTACTCTCTGTCCCCCTCCTTTTCTCAGCCAGATGGAACAGGATCACGCGGGCAGCTGGCAGGCAGCTTTGCTTGAGAACCAGGAGGATTCTGGGAGGAATAGTGACCTAGGCCCCATATGAGCAACTCAGGTATGGACTGGAATTGCTAAATCTGGGTTCTCCAGGCCCCTGTGGTGAGTCTAGCCCCTTGGTCTGAAGGGAAATGGATGATCTCAAAAGAGTTGCCAAACAGTTGACAGAGATATTTGAAATTTAGCGAGAAGACTTACTAAAGATTTTGTATTTACAAATGCTATATATAAAGACTTTATATCCACTCAAATTAAAAATAAGCCTTGTGTATAATGTTCTTGACATATTAATTAAAATAATATAAAATTCATGACTAGATCTGAAAAAGTAATATTTACCTCTATCTCATTCATTTTTAAATCAGATGGGATATGTGTTTTATAATATATTTATAATTTATAAAAATGTTATAGTTTATAACATTCTTTTATTTTTTTTAAGATTTAATTAATTTTTTTAGAGAGGGGAGAGAGAGAGAAAGAGAGGGAGAGAAATATCAATGTGTGGTTGACTCTTGCATGTCCACTACTGGGGGCCTGGCTCGCAAACCGGGCATGTGCCCAGACTGGGAATCCAACAGATGACCCTTTAGTTGACAGACCAGCATTCAATCTACTGAGCCACACCAGCCAGAGAGAGTTTATAACATTCTAATGAATAGAGTCTTATATATATAAAGCTTCCATAATATGTATATGGAAGAAAGCCACTTGATTTTTTTTTCATCCCTGGGAGTTTGCAATAAGAACTTGGACACCCTTGATTTAGGATTTTGAGCCCAGACTAGCTAGTGAGTATTTTGAAATCCATTTCCTTGGGAGAGCTCCCAGCCTGGATTTCCCACTAGACCAGTTTCAATTTGTCCTGAGGCAAGTGGGGCTGAGATCTGAGAGAAGGGAGGGAGCAAAGTGTATTCCTGGTAGAGCATAAGTGCAAAGGGCGTAGGAGGGAAATGTGCTTGGAGCCCTGGAGCAGTGCAAGGCCGGAGAGGAAGGGATGAGGGACGAGCTGGGCACAGTGAGGTCCAGATTGTGTAAGTAGGGTCTTGGAACCATGATAAAGACTTCGGATTTCACTGGGAATGGAACTGAAGCCCATTGGAGGTTTGTGAGTATAATGATATGATCTGTTTATATTTTTTAAAACGTTATTAAATCCTTGGATTCATCTTTGACTTGGAATGTATTTTTATCATCATCTGTCTAATTTGTGTATCTGTTTCAAATGACTCTAAACTAGGACAGGAGGGCAAAGACATATAAATATATCCCCTAAATGACAATAAACACAAAATCAATTCTTTAACTTGATTTTTCACTTAGCATCAGGTTATTGAGATTGATCTTTGATGGTATGTGTAGCTTTACATCGTTCCTTTAAATTCCTTGCAATAGCCCGTTGTATAAATATATCACAATCTATTTATCCACTCTCCTGTTAATGGGCATGCATGCGTTTTCGATTTTTGTTATCAAAAATCAATGCAACAGAAACCTTCTATGTGTCTCCCTGAGTATGTATAGTCTCTAACTGTATACCTGGTGGGAATTGCTGGGTCACACATTCACTAGACTGTTGCATTCTACGATAGAGTTAGGTCATGAAAATGCTCTCCAAGGTGACTCTCCTGCAGGGGATACAATGCAGCTGCTCCTTTCTCTATACCTTTGCCAACACATTACTATCAGCCTTTTTAATCTATGTCAATTGATAGATATGTAGTAAGCCCAAACATCTGTTTACATGTTTATTGGATATTCAGGTATCTTCCTTATGAATTGTCAATTCATATTCTTTGCCTATTTTTTCTAACCTATTACCTGTCTTACACTCACTGACTGATAGGAATTTCCTATAAATTCCTAATACCAATCCCTTGTTAGTATTTCCTTTCCAAACATTTATTATTATCTCAACCCATCCTTTTCACTTTTGTTATAAATTTTGGTGAATAAAACTTTTTATAAATTTGATAAAATGTATTGATATGCTTTTAAAGTTTGTGATTTTTATACCTTGTTTAAGAAACCCTTTGTAAGGGTTTCAGGTTATAAAAATATATTTTTATTTTTCTCCTAAAAGTTATTTCTTTTACACTGAGGTCTTAAATTCACCCCCAATTTATTTTTCAATATGGTAGGAAGTAGGCATATAATTTCATACTTTTCTTCTGTAGAGATAGCCAGTATTCCCAGCCAATGCTCATTAAATGGTTCTTTTTTTCTCCATCAGTATCTAATGTCCCTCCTTTCATATATTAAATTTATGTATTTTATTCTGTTCCATTGGTCAATTCTTGAGCCAATGGCTCATTTTCTTATTCCTATAGATTTATAAAAGTCTTGATATCTGATAGGTCAAATACCTACACTTGTTTTTCATCACTATTTTATTTATACTTAGTCCTTGATCTTGCCCATGACTTGTAGGATCAGCTCTTTATTCATCAAAAACACTGTGGTTGTCTTCTCATTCATTTGTATAGTGTGTCTTCCTTTATTCAGGCCTTACTTTATGTCCTTAGGTAATGTGTTGTATTTTTCTCCATATATGTCTTCTACATATTTTGATAGATTTATTGCAAACAAGTTGATATTTTTGGTTTTAATAATTTACACATTGTAATAATTTGGAGATAATTTTCCAGGTTTGTAATACATAGGGGTGGGCGATAAAAGTAGGTGTATCACTGTGAGTACATGAAACACAGAGTTTATCCTTGTGTTATTATTATTTATCATTGCATTATTTATTTGTATTACTGTAAGCCTACTTTTGCTCACCCTTGTATATTATCCTTTTCCTCCACTTCTTGTACCTCTTTTTGTGTGTGTTTTATTGCTTTGGACCCCCAGGATATTGCTACATAGAAGCAATAATAGTAAACATTCTTGTTTTTCCCTGAGTCTAATAGAAATGCTGCCCAAAGCTCACAGTTAAGTGTGATTGATTTTTCTGTAGGATATATATATATATATATATCTATATATATATATATAGATATAGATATATATATATAGATAGATAGATTAAGGAAGTTTCCTTTCTATTCCCAGTTTTCTAAAAGTTTTTTTCTCCTCTCCTACCAATTAAAGCCGAAGTGTCTGTTGGGATAGTTATACAATTTTACTCCCTTAATCTATTAATGTATATTTTATGTTAACTATTCCTACATCCCTAGAATAAATCTTACTTGATTATGATGTGTTTTATTGTATATATGGCTGAATTTGATTTTGCTGGTACTGAATTTAGTATCTTTTCATAAATGAGATTGACCTACAGGGGTCCCCTTTCATGAAGCTTTGCCATCTGGGGGCCCTAAAGTACTAATGGCGAATGGCAGCAGCAGGGGGACTTGGTTTGGTCCATTTCCTCCCTAAACAGTCCATGGTGGGAGCCATGGAATCCCCTCGTTGTAAGGATTCTTAAGAGGCAATTACTTGAAGTCCCAATCAGAAGATAACTAATGAGACAGCATACAGCCAACACCTAATTTCCATATGTCCCTGTGGTTTGGTGGTGTAAGAACAGTTAGAAAACCAGGTCGGTCATGTTTTTCTTCTTCCAACAGTAACATTTTCCTTTCATCTTAAAAACGTAATTTCCCACATCTCTTGATTTCTACTCTTGAATTCTATTTTCGGTCACCATATGCTACTTTTCAGCGAGCATTCATTTGGAGCAGTTTTGCTCACAGGTTTTTGGGAAGTAGAGAGGAGAGCAGATAAAACAAGGATGGCCCCTCCCCATGTGCTGGGGTCTCTCTGATTTCATCCTGTCACTGAGCTATGTGACCCTCCAGAGAGGACACTGCCATCCATTCCTTTCATGGAAAATAGGAAGGAAATGAAGGCAATTAGGGCCCTTAAGATGTAAATTTCAGTGTTGGCTGAAAGGTTCTTTTTTTCCCCCAGTCCTGCTTTGTAAACAAGGCTCTGGTGGGACTAAACCTGGGAAGCTACCACAGCTCCGTGACAACTGGCTGGGCCAGCCATGGCGACCATCTCCATGCGCACATCACGGTCACTTACAGACACGCAGATGCACATTGTAGCTCCAAACACTCGCTCTGGCTCCCACCAAGAAGAGATCATTAGCAACCAGTGAGTAGAAGGTGGGATGCGGGGAAAAACACTGCTAACGGGTCAGCATTTGCTTGATGAACTCAGTTGTTTCTTTTTATTGATTATCCCGAGATGGAATTATTGTCCTAGTTTCAGGATATTGTCCCACGTACAAGCACTGCAGAGACACCTACTGCATTATGAGTTCTATTGCCTTTTTTTCTCATTGTGAATATCTCCATGTAAAGGATGGAAATGTAGGGTGAATCTCAAATGGAGACACACAGTTCCATGGGAAAATGCCTTTTAACATTCTTTTTATTTTGAAATTAAATTTTTTCACCACTTATAAAGTAAAGGAAGAATAAAACTACAAAGGAACAAACCATATGTATCAAGCAAATAAACAGAAAAAGATAAAGCTGGAGACACACAATGGCCCTGTGCTTACTCACATTTCCACGGGAAAGGCTTCTCTCCCACAGGGTCGCGCTTCTCACGATGGAAATATAACAAGGGGATTTCTGAAAGATTTGAAACAAAGCATTTGGTATCATGAACTTTAACAGATGATTTTTCAGGCAGATCAGAAGCTAGTTTATTCAAACAATAGCTGTTCTTTCACTGAATACCTGGTATTATCCAGAACACTGTCCTAGGTACTAGGGGATTAATAGGGAGACCAGACAGATGCAATTCCTACCTTCAAGAGTCCAGAAGAAAATACAAGTGGTAACTAAAGAACCATATAAATAAATGCAAAATTTCAACTGTGGCAAATATTATGAATGAGAGGCAACACATTTTGAGAATATCGTGGTGTATTAGGATAGAATAGAATTAAACATTCACACTCTTTGCCACGTAGCTTGGATATACTTTCCACCTGAGTAAATGAAGTATGTTTCCTTGTCCCACTGACGTTGAGCTAGGTCTGTGACGTGCTTTGGCCAATGACATATTTGCACACATGACAAGAGCAGAGGCTTTAACTCTACACACTGGGTTTGTCTCAGCCACTTGCATTTCTGCCTTAGCCAGGGGGGAAAAAACATGCCCCAGGTCACCACTGGTCCCAGAAGGAGGAGAAGACCAAAGTAATAGACTTGCACCTAAGCCAGAGCCTTGAATCAGCACGAGCCAACCCCAGCAGAGCTACCGCCATCAACACACAGACCAGTGAACACAAACAAGAAACAAATGCTGTTAGTTGAAAGCCACTAATTTTGGAGTCATTTCTGATGTAAAATGATTGAAGCAGAAGCCTGACTGACACAAATATCCAGTACATACAACAGGTCTATTCAGGGAGGTCAGAAAAAACACCCTTGAGCTTCAGACAATGACCGGAAACCTTGTAGTGTTACTTAAAACATCAAACTTCAGCAAGATAATAACAGGATTTATTTATATACTTCTGCTTTTCAATTTGACACTTTGTATTTGTTTGGTTAGCCACAATTCTTGGAGTCCTTGACTTTCCTTTGTCCGCTATTTGCTAAAATCACGTCTCAGTCTTTGATGGGCCTGAGGAACCTGGTGTCATGAAGGAGGGACCCCCAACAGGCCCGCCACCGGGACAGGAGCAGACGTCTAGATATGAGAAAAACAGTGGTGAGTCCGCCATGTCCTTTCCTTTATTTATTAGTCTAGAGAAAGAGATAGTAACCAAAGAATTACACAAATGGAGGCAAAATTTCAATGATATTAAACATTATGAAGGAGAGACACATGGGGTGCAGACGTACGTGGAAGTACAGATTATGGGCTGACGAACGGGAGAACCCCAGAGGGAGACAAAACTGGAAGCAACAGCATCTCTTGGATCATGCACTTCGGCCCCAGGACAGAAGGAACCTGCCAAGGCACAGAGGAGGCTCCAGGTAAACTCCAGAGGAAAGCACTGGGGCACCTAAAAGGAGTTCAAACACTGAAATCATAGGATGCTGTAAGTGTGCCACACACATAGCACCTTCCGGTGAATCAAGAAATGTGTCATCTCATAGTGTCCCTGACATCACAAGCCATATAATAAGCATCTAGCTAATGGGCTTAAAGAATGCAGGCAGAATCTCCCATGATCCCCAAAGGAGTCACAGGTCACAAGAACTAGCAGGAATCCTAAATCATCAATATTCTCATTTGATAGATGAGGAAGCTGCCTACGATCACACAAGCAGGTTGTGACAAGCCCGCGACCAAATTTCAGAGTCCAGACTCCATGTTCCACCCATAATCAGCACACATGTGGTCTTCAGAATCCAGCTGTCAGGTTTGATTGGAAAAGTAACCCCCTGTCTACAGAAAAGGGAAGTGGTCTCTTTGACGAGGTGAGAATCACCAGGTGGAGAGTCAGGCCGCCCCCTCCATGATGTACATACATCTCAGGCCTCCTCCTCAGCGGACTTCCTGCCACTCACCCCAGCCATGCACCTTCAAACATCAGCTGTCTTCTGTGTAGACAACACTTGCCCAGGGTGATCAAAACCGAGCACAAAACTCTGTCCCCAAACCACACTGCCATACACAGTTCTTATTTCAGTGAGATTTCCAAGTGCCCCACTCAAAGCTATGCAGGTTATGGGTATGTCGTCACAACTGTCTGGTATCATTCACAGAAGAGAATGCAAACAATGCCTCCTAAGGCCGTCCAGTGCACCACCTGAACATCTGTACACAGCAGTCCTGGGATTTCTGACCTGCAAAGAGTAGGCCTTCGTGATGGCCAATAGTCCATGGAACTCATATACACTCTGAGTTTCACTTTAATAGGCGACTCTTTCTAAAGAGAAAGAGGAAAGAAGATTCAGAGACTGGGGTTATCTGATTCCTTAGAAAAGCTTTGTTTTGAACTTTTGAACAAATCTAAGATGCAGGTAGAATTTCTTCGTAAACAAACAAAAAAAAAAGCTATTGTAATCAACAAATAAAATAAAAAGGCTTGAAAGAATAAAGCTGGGATATTCCCTGCTAGTCATTAACCTGATTTTTCTAATGAATATGGCATTAGGCATTCATTAACAATCATTTGTGTTTATGTTGAACAGTGGAAGTATAATGAAGGTTGGTAAATGAAAGCAAAATTACAACAGGGAATTTTGGACACTTATAAAGCAATTAACTTGTTTGGCAGTAATTACACATTGAAAGCTAAATCAAGTGCATTTATAAAGCCACAAGAGTCGCCACATAAACCAGAGGTCCTTTGCTCTAAAATAATAGAAAAACCTCTTTCTTTCAAAATGCAAGAGAAAAGGCAAAAGTATGGTATAAATGACAAAAAAAGGGGCCCAGGTCTAATGAAAAGAAAGACAGTTACAGCCCATATGCTAGAGAAGAGGCAAGTTCCTGAAAAATAGGACGGCTCAGCTAATTAAAACTAAAAAGAAGAAAAAAACCCTTTTGTCCCCACAATGATGTGAAAACAGGTGGTATGTCCTGAGGAGTTCAAGGTTTTGTTTTGGGGAGCATGCAAGCATGCACGCACATGTGCACATGGGCATGCATATGCATGTGCAGGCATATGTGCACACATGTCTACATACTTGAACAAGTAACTGTGTGAAGAGTAGAAACCAAATCCACAGTCAGGTTCTGGGATAGCCACTCTCTCTCAGTGGTTACCAAGTGTCTGCCGCTGACAATTTTGTAACTTGATTTTCCAAAAGAGGGCTTTACTTCTTTATTCCCCCCATTTAGCACCTAGTATTAAAGATCAGTCATCAATTGCATTCAGGGACTCCCTTTTACAGAGAAAAGAGCGAGGGGTGGTGGTAACTAAAAGGAAGAAGACCCCCGGGGGAAAAATCATTGCTGAACTGATAAAAAAGCAAAGGCAATAAACACAAAATGCAATGTGGCCACACATTCATAAACAGAAACTTTGCTGCAGAAAATACATTCAAAATCTTATGAAGCTTTCAAGATGACAATTTTTTCAGAATTTTCAATCGTACAATAGTCAGCTAAGAAATATTGCAAAGGTGCTGTTTGGGTTTGTCCATTTATTTTTGCTTTCCTGGGGCTGCAATGGGAGGATTAGGCAAGAGGAGCTGGTCTTCGTAGGAGCCCAGTGATCTGAGCAAAGGGGGGAAGTTTTCCAAATTAGGGCCTTGAGCATCCTCCTCCACAAGATGGGAAGGTTCAGGAGCCCTTCCCATATGACAAATATCTTTGCGAATAGGGGTTGTAGGCGTTGGAGGGTTAGTAACCAAAAAGAAGCTTCCCAGGGGGATCTGCAAAGGGCAGCTGGCTTTGTGGAAACAATTGCGAAGCGCTTGGGTATTAACTATGCTAAAAACAAACACTTGCTTTGCCTCCGGTCTGGAATAGAACATGGAAACTGGAGATAGCTTTGGAAATCCTCACTCGGGTCATTCAACTATTACCAAATAAAAAATGTGTTTGCTACGACGGGTTGTGTGCCTTGCTTTCAAGAGACACAGTCTCTCTTTAAAAAGGCAAACATTTTATTTCCAGGCAGAGGACCAAGCCATTAAGTTGAAAAACTGACTTCTCACTTATTTGAAATCATTTTAAATATTTAGATAACCTACCTGGTACTAATCTAATATGAAGTGTTTCATTAGAGATTTTCTTGGTCAGAAAATTACTTCCTGGTATTGTTCCAGACCTCATCAATATCTCATTTTCTTTGCTTCAGTCCCAATACCTTTTCCTGTGCCTTCACAGATGGATACATCTATACATCAGGAAAGTCAGGGAATACACTATTCTTTTTTTAAAATATTGATTTTTAAGAGAGAGGAAGAGAGAGAGAGAAACATCAATTTGTTGTTATTTATGCATTCATCAGTTGATTCTTGTACACACTCTGACCAGGGATCAACCTGCAACCTTGGTGTATTAGGATGATGACCACTGAACTATCCAGCCAGGGCCTATGCTATCCGTGAAAGCACCTGCGTCTGATCCAGTGCTTCTTACATGTTATAGTAAATAAACTAGTTAAGATGCGGGTCCTGATTATTTAGGAGGTCTACAGTGGGGCCTGAGATTCGGCTCTTATAACAAGCTCGTAGGCAATGTTGATTTCCCTACAGTGTGACACTGAGCTACTGATCCTTGTAGTAAGTAGCTGGTTTTTAAAAGGTTGTAAGATTCGGACCAGATCAGTTCTCCTCCAAGAAGAAACATGGAAAGTGTAGTGGACCAGAAATTAAGCAATAGGGGAATAAATTACCCATCAGAAATGAACTATACAAGGGAAGTGGTTTAGTCACCATGACTCTCTAATATCGGCTTCCCCGCTGCCATGGCTTTCTGTCCACATCTCCTGTTGTTGAAATCCAGAGTCAGTTTACCAAATAGTTATTGATATGTCATGCCCTATATCTAGCACTGAGAACGTGAAAATAAATGAGGCGTAATCCCCATACTGCTCCCCCAGCACAATTAAACACAGAAGGATAAAAACTGTGATAAAAGGATGTATAAGGTACCAAGGGTGCTCCTAACCCAGAGCCAAGGTGGAGAATGTTTAGACAAGTTAGAGGGATCAGGA